AGAAGAGAGATGGACTCCAAGGTCTCTTTAACTCTTTTTGTTTGTGTTTGTTTGTTTGTTTTGAGACAAAGTCTCACTCTGATGCCTGGGCTAGAGTGCAGTGCCTTCATCATAGCTCACTGTAGCCTTGAACTGCTGGGCTCAAGCGATCCTCCTGCCTCAGCCTCCTGAGTAGCTGGGACTACAGGGATGTGCCACCATGCCCAGCTAATTCAATTTTTTATGGAGATGAGGTCTCACTCTTGCTCAGGCTTGTCTCAAACTCCTGGCTTCAAGGGATCCTCCTACCTCGGCCTCCCAGAGTGCTAGGATTACAGGTGTGAGCCACTGAACCCGGCCTCTTTTAACTCTTAATTGCCTGTTACCCTAAGTTTCCATGGAACAGAAACTTTTTGAAAAGGTTTAATTATTATATTTTAGCCAGGTGCAGTGGTGTGGGCCTGTAATCCCAGCTACTTGGGAGGCTGAGGCGAGAGGATCTCTTGAGCGCAGGAGTTTGAGGCCAACCTGGGTGACATAGCAAGACCCCATCTCTAAAAAAAGGTTTAATTATTTTGTCTGGCAATTTTTCAAAATATGTGACATATTTCTCTGCCTTCCCAGAGTATACTATGCATAACTTAATATGTTATTGGTGATGTGGGGCCAGTTCTTCAGCTGAATTGTAATTCACACTGCCCTTGGGGATGCTTGTGAGAGCATGTATGTATTTTTTTTTTTCTTTTAATAGAGACAGGATCTCACAGGATCTCTGTCTCTCAGGCTGGAGTGCAGTGGGGTGATCATAGCTTACTGCAACCTTGAACTCCTGGGCTGAAGCAATCCTCCCACCTCAGCCTCCCAAAGTGCTGGGATTACAGGTGTGAGCCACTGTGCCCGGCTATTTTTAGTAGAGACGGGGTCTCTCTCTTGCTCAGGCTGGTCTGGAACTCCTGACCTCAAGCGATCCTCCCACCTTGGCCTCCCAGAGTGCTAGGATTACAGGTGTGAGCCACCACGCCCAGCCTATTTAGTGGGGTTTTTGAAAGGACGTGTAGTCATTTCACTATAGATAACTAAATGTCAGGTTTTAGTATCTTAAGTTTGTTTCTGAAAGCAGGGCTCCCAGTCTTATTGAGCCTCCAGTAATTATGTTTCCTCTTATAGGGATCTATATGTATATCACATCCGTTTGAGGATCAATAGATTTGGATGTCTGCCATTGTTAAGTAGTGACTAAGCTATCCATTTCCTCTAACTTCATTTGCAGTGAGAGCCAAGGAAGATCTACCTATTTCTTTTTTTTTTTTTTTTTTTTTTTTGCTTAGCCTCTTTACTTCTATGTACTACCTATTACTTTCTTTTTTATTAATACATTTTTTAATTTTTAAAAAATTTTTAGTCCTATACCTTGAGGACAGGATACTACTTATTACTTTCTGAGGTTAAGTTGAATCCTCCAGGCTTCTAGTTTGAAGCTTAGTCACACAGTAGTGTACTCAGGGGCTGCATCATGAATTTCTAAGCATCTCCCATGGATAGATGGTAGATGTCAACAGTTACATTCCTAACTTAGTCCTCTGTGCTTCTGTAAGTTGTTGAGCAAACAATTGGGATATACTTGCTATCGGTTTAGGCACTTGATTAGTTCTTAATTTATTTCATATTTAATGTTTCAGAATAATCACTCTGGAGATTACTGAGATTATGGAATACTTCACTAAAGGTCTTTGAAATTTGGATGAAACCTCCTGACCAAGATGTTAGGAAGGAAGGGACCTCACTCTGGCTTGGAACTGGGTTGGGTGTTTTCTTGGAGAGAACAGTGAGCTGAAGAGCCTGGGGTCCTCCCTGACCTCTGCTCTGTGTGCTCCTTCTATTTTTTTTGCTGGGTGAGACCTGATAGGATGGTTTTTGTGCTCAACAGAAAACTCTCAGTGGAGGAACTAGAGCGGAAACGGCAAGAGATGATGGAAAACGCCAAGTGGCGAGAGGAAGAGCGACTGAACACCCTCAAGAGGCACGCTAGGGATGAGGAGCGCGAGCAGAGGCTGGAGAAGCTGGACTCCCGGGATGGGAAGTTTATCCAGTGAGTGCATCTTCTTCCTGTCGGGGGCTTTCATGGACATGGGCTCAAGGAGGCATCTGGCAGCTGGTTCCTTGTGTTCTGAGTGTTTCTGTGTCTGTGCAGAAAGAGCACAGAACTCAGCCTCCAGACCACCTTTGCTACCACTCCCAGCTTCTGGCTAGGCAGTGGGATGTTTTTGATTTGAGGGGAGGAGAAGTTAATTGGTATTTTCTAAATCATTGAAACTCCTTGGCTTTCTTTTTAAATAAGAATTCATGGCTCAGGAAGCCTTTTCCCAATGAGGCTTTGATTTATTTTCTAAAACAGCTAAATTTTCCTTTATGGACATTGGTTTAAAAATGTGTTTCCGGATGGAGTCACTGGAAAGGTATCTATGTGGGCTTCAAAGAGCTTGTGTTTCTATAGCTGCTTTATGGCTAGCAACCCATTTCTTCTAATTCTGTCAGATAGTTAGCCACGTGCAAAATGTTTTTGACTTCCGTTCGCCTGTCTTCTCTTCCCAGCCGCATGAAGCTGGAGAGTGCATCCACTTCCTCCCTGGAGGATCGAGTGAAGCGGAATATCCACTCTCTACAGAGAACCTCAGTAGCTCTGGAGAAGAACTTTATGAAAAGATGAAAACTGTCCCCTTTCTTACTGGTTTTCCTGAATTTTCCAGGGAGGCTGCTGACCCCTTAAAACTTCTCTTTATAAGAGTTCAAATGACTTCTTCCACAGATATCAAATGACCACTGTTCAAAGTGACGCTCCTCCATTGATTCCTGAAACAGCTCACTTCCTTTGAGAACCAGTGTGACTTGCTGTATGGGACTCTCAGTAATGGGCTGGGTGCAGAGTGGGTTTTGACTCTTTTTTAAGGATGAGCACTGGACTGTCTTGGTGTGAGGATGAAGGCTGCCCCCTGGAGTTGTACTACGTATCATGCCACTTTCCTCTCACCTGTGTGAACACACTGCCTCGGTAGAGACCGGACCTTTCAGAAAACGCTCTGTAGAGTTACCCAGATAGATTGTGCTTGCTGGGATAGATCAACATTTACCTGATTGAGTGACAACAAAATGATGTTAGGTTAGGGCAGAGCCAAAATGATGACAAAGAATATGAAAGAGGAAACAATAGAAAAAGCCCTAAATGAACTATTAAGTATTCAGAACTGTAAAAGTATAATGTATATATGTACAGATGTATAATTTTTACATGCTTTTAAAAAAGTTAGCTTCGTGAGAATATTTTGTTTGATTAATGACTTTACTATGTAAAAGAACCACTTCAGACCTTGTTAGCAAGTAATACAGTCCAGCTCATTTTTCTCTCTGAATCCGCTGCTGGTTTAGGAGGAGCCTGGGCTTATTGATAGGCTCTAGGGTATCCGGTCTTTTCTGCTGCTTGGATTCTCTAATGTAGGCGGTGCGGCAGTGTAATCAAATAATTTTAGGAGACAGGAACAAATTGCCAGTATGCTCCCTGGCTCCTAAAGTAAAATAAAATGGAAGCTGTTTATTTCATGGCTTTTTTTTTTTTTTTAATCATGTAGTAACTTTACTACAATTCTAGATTTTCAAGAGTTGTTTACTGTTTTTTTTAGTCAGGTATTTAAAGAACCAAAACAAAACTCAAGGGGCCATTCTGCTGTCTTTACATCTTTTCCCTTCTCTATTCTTTTTGTGTTTTTAGAGATAGGGACTCACTATGTTGCCCAGGCTGGTCTCCAACTCCTGGCCTCAAGCAATCCTCCAGCCTTGGCCTCCCAGAGTGCTAGGATTATAGGTGTGAACCACCCAGCTTGGCTCCTAGGCCCTTTTGACCTGCACATTAGCTGGGCAATTTCCTTGTTTGGCTAGTTACTAATTCTGCTTAAAATGTATTTGGATTTGTATTTTTGAGCACTTATGATGTCAGGCTCTGCCATGCTTAAAACCCAGTCTTTTCCAGAAAGAATGTTAACATATGCTCATTATTCATTTAATCACCTCATCATGCTTCCCTACCAGGGTTAATTATGTTTATTGTGTTATTCGGTAATGAAGGGTACATTTATTTTTGTAACTGTTTAAAGAGTGACCATGTGCATTTGAGAATTCTCATACAGAAGGAACAGTGTTGACCCATGATTGTGTCGAATACATGGAGATCCTTCATCTTAGAATTATGTAACAAAGCGTGGGGCAGTTTACTCAAAGATTTCATGAGATGAGCCAGAGAATCAGACGATTATTAGGATAGGTGTCTAAAGGTACTGGCGGTTTCTTAACTTGACCCTTTGCCCGGTGGAGGCTAGGTGACAGGTGGGTGGGCACGGGACCCATTCATAAAAGCCAGGGCTCCCGACCTGCTCCTCTCATTGGCCCTGGGGGAAAGGGGCGTGCCCCGCGGGTGGAGCACGCCCTGGGCCCCGGGGAGTGGGAAGATCCACGCCTGGGTGGAGCGAGGGGGCGTTCCTTGGTTTTCCATCCTCCTCTCTCCCCCGGGGCGGGGATGGTACGGCCCGCCCTCCTCGCACTCCCGCCCCTCCCTCCCTCCCGAAGCTGTGGCGCCACCGCCATCTTGGCACTTCAGGTTGAGGAAAAGCGCAAAAAGCCTGGCTTTGGGGGGCCCGGGCGGGGAGCCCCTCCCGCGGTACACAGCGAGACTGGCCCATCCCCCCTCCCCTCCCTGCTCCGGTGCGGGGCTCTGAAGCGTGCGGAGGCCGGCCCGGTTCCTGTCAGGCCCGGGGAGGAGGGGCGGGCGGGGCGGCCGCTGCCTCCCCGGGACGGGCGGTACCATCCAGGCGGGGAGGAGACGGCCTGGTGACGGCGGGGCCGGGGCACCG